GATTCATTTACCGGTATGTGGATATTCCATTTTTTTTACACCAAGAATTATATCACGAACTTCTATTTCAGGTATTAACTAGTATAGTGTGATTCTAATATAGCCATCCTGATTGCGAGATATCCACAAGTCTGTTGTCAAGAAAGCAGTTTCACAAGTATGTGCAATCAAATTTTTGAGCATTTTTATATCAATATTATAAGCTGTTCCAATTTCTGTTTTAACACTTTTGTTACTAAGAGGTGCAAGAGCAGGATCAATTCGGTTTATCATTTTTCGATATCCTTTACCATGAATAATATTGAATGGCAATAAATCAATCACCAGCCATTCTGTTATAGCACGATATAATTCTTTTTATTTTATAAGAGTGTGTGATATTTTGTGAACAAGCATAGTATTAATTCATTTTTGTTGAAGAAATGGTGAAGCTTCATCTATTGATTTATTTTTACTGTATATATTATGTTTGTGTCACAAGTGGTAGGCTATATTTCCAGTTCCACCATCATGTTTGTATTTTTGCCTGTATTCAACCTCTTTTCCCTTGATAAATACAAGAATTTTGCAAATAACATAATCTTTTTCGACAAGGAAATAATTCCACACCCAACTTGGTTTATTTTTGTTTGTTGTATGATTAAAATTCACCATAATTTTTTTCGATTTGGGAGGTATTAATAATGGAGTTTTTCATTTTGAAGTGGTACTTGTAGAACTTTAGTCATCTTCTGTCTCTTGATCATCAGGAATATCGAAAATATCATTTGATATATTCAAGTTAATAATTTCAGGATAGAAATCATCATTATTTTCAGCTATAGAAGGGATTTGAACGATTATTACCCTTGGTATGTACTAACTTGGCTAAATATGTATACCATATAAACACAGCCAATTACATAGCCAAGTGGCATAGGTATAATAAGCATAGCCAAATGACATAGTCAAGTATGGCAGTGTATAATGAGCAAGTTGAATAGTCACAAAATACATAGCTAAACAGCTATAAACTACACAGCCACGTAGGTATGGCAACAACAGTCATGTACAGTCACTCAGGATAACACTCCTTTCTGTTCTCATGCTTTTCACTAATCGAAATCTCAAAATACAGTAGAGATTTGGTATGTATTCAGGTTCTGAATCCTACTAAATTATACAAAACTCAGATAAAATTCAGCAAACTCAGATCTGAATACATGCTGAATTTCTACTGCATTTTGAGATTTCGACTAGTGTTTTCATTTCTATTATACTCAGCAATTATACCTAATAGTTATACCTAACAGATAGACCCACTTGATTTTACCCGGTTAGCTCAAATCTTTATCCGGTTAACCGGGTAATCCATAGGTCACCTGGTTAAGTACGGTCTGGGTCCAATCTCTACACAAGACCAAGCCAAACTTACTGAAAGTATTCAACAAACTCATATTACATGTGTAATTAATTAAAAAATAAACTGAAATTTTATAATGTTGTCGTCACTGCATAAACCATCCAGGACCTATCTGGAATCTGATTCAACCTAAAAAGGAAAAGGTGGTACATGTACAATTATAGTAATCAGAATTCTAGTATTTCAAGCCAATAACAAAATACCGGCATAACTGAGTCATAATTTTTTGCTTCGGCTAGCCAACTCAAGTTGATAATCATGTGAATTTCCTTATTTGGATACTTTATTTATATTACAGAGTTAATATATATTAATATTACGTACATGCATTATCGTTATCTAACATACATATTAATGTTAGCTCTTTTCTTGTAATAATTCTGGAAATATATTCATGAAAGCTAAATTTTTCTTAAGAAAAAGAATATCATGTACATTTGTAGGATCAAGCCAATTTCTTTTATCTGTTAATATATTACCAGCATCACTAAAAAGATGCTTAGCAAGGACTGAAGAAGCTGGAATTACAAGGTAAATTCTTGCTTGTTTGATAAGTAATGGTAGTGTTGTCTTATGATCATTTCACCACTTATACAGATTATTTATTACATATAATAGATAAGATACTTCATATTTTGGTAATGTTAGCATATTCTGATAAATACGAAATTCTGATTTGATAGATGTTTCAGTAGTAATTGTCGTAGTATTGAAATCATCATAAAATAATGACATAAGAGATTGATCTTGCAAATAAGAAATCTGAGCTGAATTATCAGAGAATTCAAAAATAGTTAGTATATTTTCTATAATATTTTTCTTTAGTTTTTCAATAATTTGTTGAATTTTTTCTTCTGATATAAATACTAGATTTTTAAATCTTGGATCCAAAAATGATGCAATATAATCAAGAATATTTGAATTCTCCCATCTTCTTGTTAATGATTCATGAATTTTTTCTAAAACTATACAAATATCCGGATAGATAAGTATTGAATCCATTGTATTTAAGTGATGAAAAAGTTTGTGAAAAGTGGAAAATATTTGTGAGAGTGTTGGATATTGACTTTCACCTAAGAGTATAGTTGCGATAGCAAATGGTTTCAGTAAAATTACTAATTCATTTAAACATTTCCACTCATCATCTGATAATAATAAGTTTTTTAAAATATTAGCATCTGCTCGTACTTGATGATTGAAATCATGCAAAAGTTGTAATTGATGTTTATGAATTGCTTGATAAAGTAATAAAAGTTATTTTAATAGAATCAATGTTGAGTTCTATTGGATTTTACTATCACTACTAATAGGATTAAGAGGTTTGCATTGTGAGATTTGAAGATTTGTTTGATTTATAATATCTTCTTATACTTTTCTGAATCTATCATGATATTTATCATGATTTACAAGAAAATTATTTAAGTTCTTTGCTTTTTTTACTAATCTATCATTTATTAATTCAAGTTCATCATTAATTGCAAGCTAAAAAGTATGGGCTGTATATCTTATATGATTGCATCCAAGTTGTCATATTGCTTTTTTCATATTAGAAGCATTATCTGTTATACCAACAAAAACTTTTTGTGATATTTCCCATTGCTCAAATAAATTTTGAAAAGCATCTTCAATATAATCACTTGTATGAGGATATGAAAGATTTTCAATTGTCAAAAGTACTTGATATGATATAAAATTTGTAGAGATCTAATGAATCATTATTCCAATATATGGAATATGATATGCTGTCCAAAGATCAGTAATAAAAGCAAATCTTATCATCATTTCATCTATTAATATATTTAATTATGTTTTAGTATAAGAAACTGATTGTCCAATCTTATTTTTTATTGTATTATTACAGGGAAATTCAAAATGAGGCTCATATTTATGAATCAGCTCTTGAAACTTTTTATTTGTAATTACGTGAAATAGTTGCATGTTATTAACAATTCAAGCAATAAGTCAAAAAAGTATTTTTTCTTATTTAAAATGTGGTAAGAGATTTGTAAATTCAAATATTTGTTTAATTATTTTTTGTTTTGAATTATTTGAAATTACTAAATTAATAGGAGGATATATTTGATGCTTTGTTCTTAGATGTGTTGCCAAATTTATTATTGAAGTTGTAAGATTATAAGAAATTGGACAAGGAATATTTTCTTTATTTTGTGGATTTTTGATAGTTAGTTGACAAATAACTTTTTTTGTAATTTTATTTTTCTTAAAATATAATCATACCCAACTTTCTTTATTTATAGATGAATTAATTTTCTTTAAAGAGGTATTTAATGAATTTGATGCTTGATTATTAGAAGTTGAAGTATTTGATAAATCTGATACTTGATTATTAGAAATAAAAATGCGTGATGATATTAATATTTCATTATTAGGAGTGGATGAGCAAGATAAATTTGGATAAGAATCTATAAGAATAGGTTCATTAATTAATTATTGTGTTTCATTAGTTGATTGTCATGTCTATTATACTATTTCTTCATCATAATTAATAAAAGTGATTTTGGATTTTTAATTTATTAAAAAAATGTGAAAAGAATATAAAAATGCAAAAAGAATATAAAACATGAAAAGAATATAAAATATGAAAAAAAGATGAATATATAAAGGATTTTACATGTATATTGTAATACATTTACATAAACTAAATTATATATAACTATATAACATGTTAATTTGAACTGTAAATAGTATTCTATAATAATAATAATTTTTTTCCTAATTTAGAAATTTTTCAGTAATTGACTTGCGCCACATCAAAGAAATTAGCTCGACTGAATCAGCTAGCCAGCTATATGCTAGCGCATCCTAATCAGCTTGAAACACTAATCAGGATATTGATAAATTTCTTTCCTTTATCTAAATACAATGACATGATTAGGTATTTACTCTTCACTTTATTTTCGGTTATTTTAAAATCTCTCATTTCTATTATTGTAATTTTTGAATGCTGCAAACCATTTGGATGCTGCTTCTTCATTACATACATTTACAAACATATTTAACTCAAAATTTTCAACTTCAAAATTCTCTTGCATTTGGTATGGTGATAGAATATCAAACCTTTGTATTAAATAAGTATAATTACAAGGAAAAACCAGTTTTAAAACATCTGGTAAAAAGATCCCTATGATAAAGATGGAACAGGTGCATAATTGATAAACCTGTAGAGTATTCTTTGTATTATCACCTGCCATGCTGTTCTACAAATAACCCGTTGTGTAACTTTTAGTAACTTTAATTTTAAAGGTACCTATATGAACATTAAAAGAGGTTACCAGACACTTTCGTACGGAAAAGAAGCACTTCCCAACGACAAACTCACGGCAGGTTCCTCTAGAACAAAAGAATGGTGAAATAGTATGGCATTTGAAATGCCTATTCACGACAAAGAACAACAAAAAGAAAAAACTTACCGGTAGCGACAATGACGACGATACAACCAACAAACAGCGAAATTCAAAACGACAACATAATAAAAGCAAAAGAAAAGATATTATGCTTATCTGAGCAAACACGTGGTTTACCGATAGGTCAGATTGACAGCCGCGCCACATCATCAGCGCACATTCTTGTAAGATATTCATGAGCAAGTTAAAATTGCGGAGTACACGTCAATGATAGAATCATTCTCTTCTGTAATGCTTCTAATTGCACTACCATCAATTTCATTAGGAAATCCCAGCTTTTTATTGATATCAGACGGCTCCAGATTCTCAATAACACTCCGTAAAGTACTTAGATGTAAATAGTTTGGTATAAAACGAACTTCCATGCACTAGCTTCCACAAACACCGCATCTCCGGATGCATCTGAATAGCACGCAACACTTACAATCCATCAGCTATCGAATCAGCAGCACGACCATAAGATCCCATTTGAAAATACTCTTTGGCAAGTGTCAGATAATTATCGCCAGAACTTTTCAGCGATGGGAAATGATCCGGCTCGCCTTTTTCCTTGGCTTTTTCTATTGTGATTTTGTAATGTTCTATTGCTTCGATGAAGAACCCTAGTTTTTATTTTATTGCGGCAATTTGATAATTTGCGAAATTGAGGAGGGGGGTTCAAGTTCAGTTGCTCTTGTAAATAATTTGAGAGAAGCGATGTATTTTCCTTCATTGCGATATGCTTCTGCTAAACCTTCCAAACATTGGATATCCTTAGAGTTGGTTCGCAAAGATGCTTGAAAAGCTGGGATTACATCTGTATAATTTTTATTGGCCTTGATTTTTGAATCGACAAATAAAATGATTAATGATTATAACAATATGAGTGTTTACAAAAAATAAAATTATTACCAATTCATGAAATCCCAATCGTTTCCAAACCCAACCAGCTTTCAGATTTGATCGAATAATTGTACGATACACAATTTCCGCCAATTCATTATTATCAAATACAAGGCAGCTTCTTCGTCACTAGAGTCCAATGAAAAATAACATCTTTTGGCACGAACATTGTCTCCAACAAGACAGTAATAATGTCCAAGATATGTAAAAGATTGGTGTCAATTTCGATAGTGCGATAGTAGTTAATTCTATATTCGCCCGTATTAGTTCACAGATTAGCAAAATTCTTAAAGCGAAAAATTAAAAATTTTTGAAATAACTGCCCAATAAATTCGTCCTATCTATAAAAGTGTAGTGGATTGTTATCACAAAATCCTTTTAGCCTCTTCAAAATTTCCAAGCAGGAAATGAACCAAAAAGGTTGTTTGGATCGAGTTGTTGTGCTCACAAACTGATCTAGAGCCAGACACATTTCTTGAGATTTTCGTGTTGCCAATTCACATCCTGATAACGCGTATTCAAGAGCATTCTCATGATCTTTTGAATCGTGATGCATCCAGCTTAAGGTAAATAAAGAATTTCAGTTCCAAGATCATTCTACCAATAAACTTCGATTTTATATTTAATTGAAATAAGATAACAATAAATTAATTTTACATTAAGCTCAATTATTTCATTTATAGATTCGCCACTCTTATATCGCAAATATCCTTGGATAAAGTGAATTCATACCGGATCCACTTTACTTCCTAATTCCGTGAATTGATTTACATATTCTTTAACTGTTCCAGAGATTTCAATTCATTCTACTATTGTTATACCTTACAAGATGAATAGAATTTAAGAATAAATTGGCAGATAAAGTCATGTTTATCATAATCATCATTTTTCCAATCATTTAATTTGAGGTTATTATTTATAGATCATTGATCAAACCAGACAGCAGCTGGTTCCTCTAAGTATTCTCTTACTATCTTGATCTTTCTATCATTAGTAATTCCATTAGCTTTGATGACTATCTCAAAGTTATGTAATTACTTAATTGAATCTTGATCATTACTCTTAAATTTACAAATTAAGATAAGGATCTTTTCTATTTTCTGGATCTTCATAAATCAAGTTAATTCTCCAAGAGCTTGGATAAGACTATCCATTCTATCTGACATGGTTATTTCTTCTTTTGGTTGGATCTTTTGAGATTGAATTTATTCAATTATAACTGTTGATTCTTCTGGATCTTCTGAACCACTACTTTCATATTCTGATTCTGTTAGTTGATTGGTTAAGAGGATTTCAAAGTTATCTATCTCTTCAAGAACAAGAAGAATATTATTAACTAGATAGGTCTGTTATTCAACTATGATTTTACTTTCAAATACAAAGATTTTTAATAACTTGATAATTTTTCTTTGAAATTGGTTAGGTGTAAGATTTTGCTAAACTATATTATCAAAGAGTTCCTATGAGAGTCTGTTATAAGAGATTACATAATAGTCTTGAGTCCAGGTAAGAAAATTTATAAATCTTCTATCTGAATTTTCATTTGCAAGAAAATAATAAGAATAATAGTTGTATAGTTCAATATAAGGTGAAAATTCTTAAGGATTTTCTCTGTTATGTTCACTAAGATATAGATCAATTGTGAATTCAATAAAAGAGTAATATATATTCATAAACTAATAAATTATTTAGATAACTAATACTTCAAGAATAGCTAATCCTTAAAATAATAAAATAAATATTAAACAAAAATAATAAAAATGAATTGAATAGGATCTCTAGATGAGTGAGATCCACAAAGAAGATACTAAATATTACAAACTATAGTTTGGAAGGTAGGTTTTATCACAAATATAATTTATAATAAGTTTTGAGAATGAAAACTAAATTATTTATAAAGATAAAGAAAATTACTATTATTCTAAAGATTTTCTAGTGCTAATACTTACAAGTATTATATCAATACAAGATAGAAATGAAATAAAACAAAAATATAAAAATGAAAATGTGATCACAAGTATTAAACTAAGGATAAATACCAAAAACTAAAGCAACAAATACTTATAATCAAGACAATAAATATCAAATGTAACAAATGCAAATACTAAAGCAATAAATGCTAATTCTAAAGTAATAAATACTAAACTAAATTTTTATATATAGGAAAGCTTACAAGAATTTTCTAAATTAAATAAAATATACTTGACTTATTTTAAGTGAAGGACATCTATTATCTAAGTTTTTCAGGTAAGAAAAACTTGTAAATAACCAGAATATAATCTATTATGATAGAAGAGGTAAATAAAAGCAAGATATCAAGACAAGAATCAAAGAAAAATTTATAAGATAAGTATAACTCAAGTATTTTCAAAAGATAATTAAATTATTACTATTCAAGTATATTTATTTCAGATCTTAGAGCAGTACATCTTTAAGATTTTATAAGTTTTTATCTAAATTCATTTACTATTTTAAATTATAATTACAAACTTTAGGACAAAAGATCAATAAATAAATAAGTAAAATAAAGAAATAAGATACATGTAATAAGTTATAAGATAATACAAATAATGAGATAAAATGAAAAGATAAGATATATATTCTAAAAAGAAAAAATAAAAGATAAAAAAAATAAATTAAATTTATTGCTGAACTATTTCTAAAGTATTTTTAAATTATTATTGAACTGTATATGAATTGTTGTTGACTTTAGGACTAATTCTTCATTTATGATCTTGAAGTATTGCTAAAATATTGCAGAAATATTGCAAGAACATTATTAAATTATGATTGAATCCATAATTGATATACTAATTATATTATTTAAAATCACATATTATTCAAAAATCAATTAACTAATTAAATCTTTCAAGTTTGAAAAATTATGAAATTAAAGAAATTTATGTTACTACAGTAATAATATTCAAATTTATTATCTTCATCATCAGAAGCAGGATCTTTAAATTCTCTCTCAAGACTGATCAACTTCATGATTAATCTCTACTATATATAGATAACTGAGATAATTATAAATTTTTCTTTAACTTCAAAACTTAAAAGTTCTTTATCCTAATTTAAAATAGCTTTAGACTATTTTGCCTATTGATTACTGAATAACAAATTATATTCTGCTTTTTTCATGACTAGAATATCTATCTGTTAACTAAGATCTTTAATTTTTATTTTTAATTTTTCTACTTTACTTAGTGATCATTCAGATTTTCCATTTATACTTATGAGATTGATATTAAATAACTTATCAATCTATTTATTTATTTGTTTTAAGAATCTAATTGATATGATATTACTAACTGATTCATTATTAATTATTATTCTTGTAGATTGATCTTCTACTTTTTCTTTATAGTGAACTATATCTACTACTTTTTTATTCTTCTTTTCTAGATTTCTATTTTTCTTTATGATTTTAATCAATAGTTATTATAAGAATATTATTGAAAACTTTTAAGATTAACTCATACTCTGATCTTCTTCAGATACAAACTCTAGTTTAAATATGTAATATTATTATTAATAGTGATATTAGAAGATTGGAATATAATAGACTATCTATCAAGAAGTTATTACAGTTATTATAATAAAAAATTATTATCTGAAACTATGATAATATTAACTTCAAGATTGACTGATTCTCTGATATTTGTATTTCTTTCTATATAGCTATTGACATAGTATCCTATTTTATTATATTTGAAATACTTAATATTTAAAATATTATTATTATTATTATTATTTATATTTTTTCTTGATAATTTATAATTACAGATTATATAATCATTTTTACTATAATTATAACAAGTCTTATTTTGATTGAAGTAATTATTAGAATTTTGATTATTCTGAATTAATAGTTTTTTTATCTGTTTTGTAAGATCAGTTATAACTTTATTCATATCATTCACTAGATTTGGAATAGTGAAGAGAATGTCAAGATTTTGTGACATAAAAGATATAGAATTAAGAGAATTCTGATATGTTTATCTGTAGCTAGACTCAATACTGATTAATTTTGTGATTATTACTTTTAAAGTATCTGAATTAAATTTATTTATATAAAAGATAATTTCTGATTTCAAGTCTTTTACAAATTACTCAATATAGTAGATAGCTGAATATACACATATTAAATTAATTTTTTAAAGCAATGTGTAAACATCTTCTGCATATGAAATTATATCTTCATTTATTTCTTATATTCTTAATCTTAATTATTATTGCTATGCTAAGACTTGAGTATTTATTGTAAATTAAGTAATAAAGATTTGATAAAATGAATTATTATTATTATTATTATTCTAGCTTGTAGACCAATCAATATTTACAAGTTTACTTTGCTGATATCAAGTTAATACAATTTCTCTTAAATATATAAATACTATCTTTATTTTTCTTATATTTATTATATTATTTGTATTTGCTAAGTAATTAAATTCCTCGATCTAATTTATAAGATCTTTATATACTCTACTATTATAAAAAGAAAGTGATACTATTGATAATTTAACTTATTGATTCTGCTAGATTTGTATAATTTCTATTAATAGAATAAGAGCAGCTACTAATACTTATACTATCTGATCTGTCATTTCTTTTTCTTGATTTTTCTGAGATTGAAGTAGAGATGAATTTAAAAGGATAGGTGGTTGAATTTTTTCTTCTAATAACTTTTTTTCTGTTATACTTCTAGGCTAGACTGGAATAATTCTTTATCTATATAAAAGATTGATGAAGAATATATTGGAAATTGAGACTAAAGTGAATAATAATGAGACTGGTGTAAGAGTTCTGATTAGAATATTGATTAGAGTATTAGATCTTGATTATTGGATATAATATGATCTTTATTAATTGAATGTAATAATTTTCTCATGCAAATTATGAATGATATCAGTAATTTCAATCTAAATATTTTTGGATCTAAAATTATAACTAATATTTGCTTGTTAAGATTTCTTCTTTTAATATATTATTAATAAATAAGTTATAAATTAATCAGCATAATTTCTTTTCTTGTTATTTAAATAATTAGGATGGATTAAGAAGATTAATTAATTCTCTAAGTTATCTTTCTATTTCAAAATCAGTTGATTTTATTAGATCCAGTTTGAATTACTTTAATAATTAACAATTTTATTTTAATTTTACCTCTATAAAGAGAATATCAAAAAGACTATTACTATTTTAAGTTTATGCATATTATTACTATTTTAAGATTATACGTATTATTATAATATAAATTTTTATATATATATTTTATTAATATTAGTTATTTTATACTCACATTTTTATTGAATAATTATTTAGTTATATTTTATTGAACAATAATTAAGATAGTATTATTGATAGATATTTTTAGATAATTTTACAAGCATAATGTTCATAACAAAATTATCATAGCAAAGTTAGCAAAACTATCATAGCAAAACTAGTAATGCTATCATAACAAAACTGACATTATGACACTAGCAAAAGTAGCATTTAGATCATAACAAAAGTATCATTTGTAA